CAGGGTCCTTTCGAGTGTGCGCACACTTCCCTCCCTCTCGGCCTTTCCTTGTCCCTCGCTGGGATCTGAAGATGAGGCAGCAAATATCGGGGAGGCTCGAGGGAGAGATGGCTGTACTGGGCTGGGATCGACCTCGGGGCTGGAAATCCATTTTGGTTGAGTTGAGTTGCTCCAGAGCTGAACTGGGTCCGCTGTGTTTAACTCCAGGGAGGGACAAGAATGGTTGTCGCATCTTAATCTATCTGGGAGAGCAAAAGTGAAACAGGTTCCTTTTATCCCCCTTGTCTTGTTACTGAATGTAGGGCTTGTAGTGCTTGATAATAGGTGGAAAACTTTTTAAACACTTCCTTTTCTAATAGCAATGCTAATCCTGTCTAGACCAAAAACTATGAAAGAAAAAACCAAACTGAGAGAGGTGAAAGCTAACCTACTCCTAACACCTGGCTGGTCTGCCTGAAAGGGTTGAAATACTGTGAGAAGGTTGTGGGAGAGGAGCTTTGAGGCGTTGTTGGCGAGGGACCGGGTCGTTCTCCTGGCCGATGTCTCGGTGTTGCGGTGGCAGTAGCAGAAGAGCGAGTGGTTCTTGCCTTGGGAGGGTGTTGCAGCCAGCTCCGTGCGGGCTCCAAGGCTCCCTGCCCGTTTCCCCCGGGGTGCTGGAGCGGGGGAGGAGGGCAGGGTGTGCGTGGGTGGGTGTGTGTGCGAGTGCGAGTGAGCGCCGGCTGCGCGCGGGAGCGAGAGCTGCGTTTCTAAAGGAGCTCCACTCCGCTGGGGAGGGAGAATTCCCAGTGGCCTCGTAGGGAACCAAAGGCACTGATAAGTTGTCAGCTCTGCTGTTCTCAGAGCGGGTAAGAGGAGAAGCTGGGTGGGGTTTTTTTAAGCTTTGGGTCAGTGTCCCTTCCTCTAAGGACCTCATCTCTTGCGGGTACTCCCACCTTTTCTGCATGGAGTTGCATCGGCTCTGTGAAGACAAACGGTGTCTGGGGTTTGCCCAGTGCTGCAGGTCTTAGGCTGATGTTGGGATACAGTCAGGGAAAACTGTTTCTTTCCTTCAAATGTGGAAGCAGTGTAGTCCAAGGTCAGAGTCTGTTCAACGGCTTTTGCAGATGGTCTTTCTCTTAAGGGAGGGACCTTGAAGACTCCTTTCTTTGCTCCCCAAAGTAGCCTTGTACATGTTCATGTATCGTGCTATTGGGCTGAGCTGTTTTATCAGTGAACTTGGTGAGCTCTTGTGAAGAAAGGGAGGGAGGAAGGGGGAGAGCGGGTTGTCCAGCTACTCTTCCTCCGGACACCAATCGGGTTGCAGAACTTCACTGAAAGCTTTACTAATAGAATTGTTGTTCTGACATTATGTAAAAGTGGTATTAATATTGTGTGACTTTTCAAAGAGCTAGTTAGATTTATAGATAGGTAATAGGGATATTGAAGAAATGACTTCTCAAAGAAAAGAGCACTTGGAACAAAAGAAGTGGAAAACAAGGTGTGCTTTATGGAAAACAAATCTGAGGAAGGAAATGAAACAGCTTGTGGGAGGCGAGGGAAGATGATACCTTTGGCGTTCCTTAGTGCTGCTGAGGCTCAGCCCCAGAACTGGAACATACCCCCTCTGCCTTATTTCATCTCTCTACTAAACAGGACATTGTCAAGTAGCTCAGACCAAAACGCTGATCTGTCTTAAAACTGTGTCGGTCTGCTGGGGGATATTCTCTGGCAGAGCTTTACATAATACCGTAAGATACTTAATTTATCACGTTAGCTTCCCCTTCCCTCCCAAAATTGTCTTATCTGTTGTAGTCCCCACTTCAGGATTCACACTGCCTTTGGGGAATTCTGTGGCAGCAGCTACAGAAGCCCTTTTCCCTGAATGTCATAACTTCGTGTGCGTTCCAAGCCGGCACGTTGCGGTGCTATAAACCCCTGAGATTATTTAACAGTAGGAGTCCTAAGACCTTAGGGAATGGCATGCCAAGGGGCAACTCGTGGAGATCGCACAAGCCCCTTGAGAAACGATTGAGGAACAAGAGCACCCGTGACAGTGTCCTGAGAACAAGGCAGTTGAGACAAAACCTTTAGTTCTTCCCCCATTCACTCTCCATGTGTCGGCCTCTGTGACCCCGGTGCTCCCTGCACCCGAGCGAGTCTGAGGGGAAAACGCAAAGGGAAAGGCTTGGAGCTCCAGGCCGCTCCCGGCGAGTTCCCGGGGAGCCGGGCCGCGCCTCCCCGCAGCGCGGGGAAGGGAAGGGAAGGCAGCGCTGCGGGGCAGGGCTGGAGCAGCTCCGGCCCCGAGTGCCCCCCAGTGCCCGGGCAGGAGCTCCTGCTGCGTCCCCGCCATGCCGTTGTTCCATTTCCTTCCTCTGTGGTAGTATCTAAGGCTAGGTGTGAGTAGGTGTGGGGTGTTTATCCGCCACAGGTACAGGAGCTGTCGTATACCTCATTTCTAACTCGTAACTGAGTAACTTGCTTTAACTTTCTCCAAACCCCACAGAGTTGCCAAGTCTGCCCTCCCTCCTTTGATTAACACTGAACTCTGGCCTATAGCACCCCGTGACCTGCAACCTGGGGAGTGACCCCCGAACGCCTCTGAATGTCGCTGCTTAAAAGCTACTGCAAAGTGAGGGCAAATTGCAATCTTATCTTATTTCCTTTGGTTACAAGGGGTCCTCTTGATTAGTCTGTGAATATCCACCCCCTCCCCTCCACTCTCCATGGAAAAGGGCCACCCACGCTGCCTTTTCCCACCCCAGAGCCACGCTGAGCTCCAGGGCCAGGAGGCACTCTCAGCCCAGTGCTGCAAACATGCTACTCACTTTTTACCATGACCAAAAAAACAAAAAAAAAAGGAAAAAAAATAGAAATCTCCAAATACTTAATTTTCTTCTTTATTATTTGACAATCCTGTATCCCTTCCCCACTCCCCAACCTGGCCAGAAGCTGCATCCTTAACCCGGTCCATCTTTATTTGAATGTAGTTCCCCTACCCCATGGGAAAGAGAAGCTTTGTCAGGTCACGGTGGCTGCTATAAGTCGGGAGGGGGCGGTTTCTTTGTTTTGTTTTGTTCTTTTAAAATTTCCAGCCAAAACCAAAGATTTCCTAATGATTGTATAAACTCAAAACAAACAAACAAACCAAAGACAAAGGGCGTCTTCAGCACCAAGCCCACCTGTGAGGCCGGCCTGGCCTGGGGCTCCAGAACGGCCCGGGCAGCATCTCCCGGCCCCAGGGAGAGATCTGGGGCACAGGCTGGGAAGGGAGGCCGTGGCTTCGCAGGTGGGTTGAGGAGCTGAAGACTTGGGTGCAGGATTGGCTGCTCTGCTGGGTGCTTTAACCCTCTGGGGGCTGGGTGATGTTGATTAATACACGCTGAGGTGCACTTCTGAGCTTCCCCCCCTTCACTGCTTGGAAGAGGCTGTCCTGTTGTGAGAAATCCCTGAAAGAAGAAGAAGCAGCTTTTCATTTCTCCTCTAGTTCCTTTTTTCTAGATTTCTTTTATTTTTGCAGCACCACTGTGCAACTATGCATTGTATTTCTCAACCTTTTATGCTAGGTAGATGCCTGTGACTTTTTAACTTTTGGGGGGGGATTGCAAATGGAGGAACTTTTTACATGGATCTTTTTAATCTCAGTTGATTGGGGGGTGTTTGGTTCTAGGGTCAGACAAGCTCTATCCCAAAGCAAAATCCAAATGTTAATATTATTAGCCTGATGCAGATACCAAAGATAATTTCTTTCCTGCAGAACCTTAGACTTGTGTATTAAGTACGATTACCCAGCACTTGCATTAGTCTAACCTCAGTAATTCCAAAGCTTAGATGTATATTTTGGTATATTTCTGGGATATTAAAAAATTGTCGTTTAAATTCTTGTTTGTTTCAGTGTAATGCTCTTAAAGTCATAGCATGGAGATAACTGAACTTGTCCTATTCTTAGTAGTTTGAAATAATAGTATTTTTGTATGTTTTGGGTGTGTCTATGTATGTATTAACATAACGGTTTTCACTGCCTAGGTGTTCATAAATAATAATAAAAGAAAAACCAATTACAAAGGGTTTTTAAACTGTACATAATATTCCGTGAGGAATTTCCACCAGACCGCCAATTTGGATTGCATTTTCACTGATGGCCGCTCCCAACTGGGATTCTTTCTTTCTTTTTAAAGAGACAGCATGTTCTTTTGTTTTCCCCACTGACCTGAGGTTCTTTCTCAGTGCAAAGGGGGTTTCACTGTTTTTAAGGGGTGGGCCAAAGAGGAAGTAGCTCAAATTTTGTTTTAAAAATGTATTTGCAGTGTTAGTTTGAAAACTACCCCTTTGTATGAAGAATTGGGAGTGGAAAACCAAGCCCTTTCTTCTAAATCTGATCATAATTTTCAAAATGAGGATTTGTGAATGTTTGTAGTGTCTGGGCAGTCCTTTTTTGCTTTGTTTTCTAAATAAGACAAGTTTTTGGTCCTAATGGTTTCACTGCTCTGTGCAACTGCCTGCTTACACTGGCTGGGAGGTTTTTTTTCCTTGGCCTTCCTCATACATTGCATTTATACACTTGAGGTCAGCAGAACACTTGAAATCAAGGGCCATTGTGGGAGTACCCTACCCAAACGCAACCCAAGCTTTTCTGGAGACTGAAATGTGAGAGTCCCACACATTTCAAAACCTTGCTGATCACACTAAGGGTGAGGAGGAAGGCGAAATGCTGTCTCTTTAAAGATGTCCTTTATTATTATTATATTATTATTATTATTATTTTCCCAGTGGTTGCCTACAGATAGCTGTAGGCATTGAGAGATTGTGTAGATTACAGTAAATCAGAATGAAAAGGTAGATTTTGTGTAGATGCATTTGTCTGCTGTAATTTTTTATATATATTAAACTTACTGTAATTGTACAGTTCATTTCTGTTGTAAACATCATTAAACCATTTTCCAAGTGTTTTAACATGTATGCACTTGTTTGTAGTTTTTAAATGTGTCAAGGGAAGCTGATTGTCCTTCCCCTATGCATCAGTCTGAGCCAGAAGATTGATCTGGTGCCCTTTGTCTTGTTACACTGGAGGAGAGCCTGGGTTCTATGCACTCTGCTTGAAGCTTTTGTTCTAATTCTGTATTTATCAGCTCCTCTCCCAAAAGCAGAAACAGCTTCAGTTGCTTCCTGAAGGCGAAGAGAGGACTCAGCCCCACAGGGAGTGGCCCCAAAACCAGCGTTGGATGCTTTTTGAAATCAAGGTATCCATTGATATATAAAGAGGATAAAGATGATTTTTTTTTTTTATCCCCCCACAAAGAATTTCATTCCTGTTGTATGAGGTTGGTATTTCACACTGCTAAAGCATGTGACTTTTACATCTTGCAGATACAGTTGTGGTGATTTAAAAAGAGAAAGCTGTTTTCAGCACTCTTTGTTCTTGCATCAAGTGCTTTGCAGCATAACTTTACTGTAATTTTCAGCTCAGCTGTCTCAGTTATCACCCAGTTCTCTCAATTTTTCTTGTCACTGCAGAGAACAGTAAAGGATCTAGGAATTTTTTTTTTGCGAGAAGCATTCATTACCACGTCTCAGTTTACTTTTTTTTTTCTTTAATTTATTGCAAATATTCTTTAAAAGCTACAAGCACCTACTGCAGGTACAGTTTTACTGCTTAAAGAAGTAAAACTGCCTTGGAACTTGCATAGCACCCATTTCAGCAAGTTTTTCTGCTGCTAACCCACCCAGTCCCTGGAAAGAAGACATAACCTCATTTGGCCAGCACCCAGAACAGCAGCTCTTGTTCCCACAGCCTTCTTCTGTGAGGATTGGTGAGATGGCTTAGTCAGCTCCTGAGTCGAGGTGAAGCACCCCTGATGTTGCTGGGCTGGATTTGTCCTTGCTGAATTCCTCCAGCCTTCCCTGTGCAGTGAAGCACAGGCAAAACTGAGGCTGCAGCAGCAGGAGGTGAGTGTCCCTTTGATACCTGGCTTTGGGCACTTTCCCAACAGCCCATCCCAGCTTCTGGGATTGTGTAGGAGCTCTGGCTGGAATCCTGTCCTCCTCAGCTTCCCTGGGAGATGGTGCTGCTGGGTGCAGGCTGGTGCAGACAGGCTGAATACCTCAGGTAAGGAGCTCGTGCCACTCCCACTGCTGCTCCCTACACACACACGGGACTGTGGCACTGTTTTATTAATTCATCAAAAACACATGGCACTATTGAGCTGGTACCTCCTTGGAGTGATACCTGCACCTTTTAGAGGCAGCCTCATGAGAGACTGGGCTGGAAACTGCATTTATGTTGGCATTTGTACAGTTTGTTGTCTGGAAGTGATAATAGGGGAACCCATCTCTTTGTTTTCTTTGTTCTTCTGCCTTCAGAGGAGTCTCTCACTCAGCTTACCTGGCTCATATTTATGGATGAGTGGCAGTGCTATTGCTTGATCTTTTTTTGGATATTGGTGCTCATTTTCTTCCTACTGGAAAGTTGGCTTTCAGCCTCTCTGCTTTACTATGGTAACATCATGTCACTCTTTATAATTAAAGAAATAAAGTTGCCCTCCACTGAAGCAGTTTTTTAAAGGCAAATTTAAAGCAAAAAGGGTGAAATAGTCTTCAGATAAATACTACAGAAAGTAAATACAATAAATCTTTGCAAATTATTTAAATGCACTAAAGCCATAATTCCATGTCTTAATACTCTGGAAGACAAGGAAGACTTATGGAAATAGCTGTGATTGTTAGAAGGTGTGGTCTGGTCCCCACAACACAAACCTGACCAAAAAAAAATCAGCCTACTACCCCTATAATTGGAAACAACTTTACAGATATGTACATTCTAATAGCAGAAGCAGTTACATAATTCAGGAGCAGAGAGAGAAGGAAAGGCCAGGTCCAGGTTCTGTGCACCAACCCAAGGAGGTTCTTGCACACAGGAAACACACAGTGCTTGTGCTGGATGAAAAAGGCTTTCCCCCCTCTCCTCCCCAAAGCAGGTGGGCATCTCTCACTCTTGCCCATCCCCTCTGAGGCTCCCACCTAGCGAGGGGGCAAAGGCTGCATTTGGAGAGCATCATAGGTGTCCTTGGTTGCTGCACTGAGCCCCTGGAAAAGAGAAAACCAGAGAAACAGGTGAGGGATGAGTGTGAGTGCTTGCTTACTTCTTCCTGGCTGACTGGCAGGGGCTCACTCAGGAGCAGGAGTCTGATTTTTTTCCCCCTGCAGAGGTTTTTACTCCTGAGTGATTCTTTAGTCTTTGTGTGGTACAAATAGCTATTACTTACCTGAAAGCAAGGTACATCCTGAATCATGGTTATGAAAATATGATTACAGCAAATGATCCTAACTGGTTCTGCAGATCTTTGGAGTACATTTTATTTGTTTATTATTAAGAGCTAACTGATGCTAGAATGAGCATCCATAATTAAATGAACAGACATAAAATCATCATAAAATCCCTTCTCTGTGCCTCCCTGACATTGCCATTGGATATCCAACCACAGGTGAGGGGAGCAGCTGTGGGAGGTGGTGCTTACCTGGTAGAGACCTTCATTGCCTTTGCCTCGCCGCCTCTGCTGCTTTGGGAAAATAAAACAAGCACAGACTGATTAATGGGTGCTTTCCTGATTATGCAAAAAGAAAGAAGCCTCTGAGTTTCCCCATGCTGTGCTGAGCGTGTCCAGGATGTACCAGCTGTGCATGGCCTGGACTCTGCTCTGCACAGGAAAGCACCTGATAGGTCTGGACCAGCCCTGTCATGCTGCCAGGGCTGTTAAGGAGAAAATAGAGAGGATAGGAAATAAAAACAAATTGTTTTCATTTGCTGACATATTTTCCTGTCATATTGTTAAAATGTTGCTATTTCTTTGATTCACTGTATGTACAGAGATTTGGCAGCATTTCTGTAGACTCTGATTATTTAGTATTAGATTGTATCACAAATGTGTCAAGGAGTAGTGCTTGTTACAGTTAAAATTGCAGCAAGCTATTAAATGATCATATATTTGGAGTGGGACAAGGGCTTTGGTGTTCTTGTCCGTCCAGAAACAGAAACATTCAAAAAACACGGTGCAACTTTATAACCCCATAGCTCATAGACACAGCTTGACTCTGGCAGAGGAGCATTAGACTAAAAAAGGGGAAGATAATAAATGTTGGTGTTGCTTCAGCATTTCTCAACACTAAACTTTGTTTTGAAATGCTCCTTTTTCATGTGTCAGAAGGAAATGAAAGGATATATATATATATATATATATATATATATATATATATATATATATATGACACTTTGACATAAAATAGAACCTGTGTAGGTCAGAGCAATTTTTCATTTTGCCATAAACAAGTGTCCCCAGATGGTTTGTTTCTGACACAAGCCCTCCTCCCCCAGCAGTTTGTGCACAGAGCTAAAAGCTCTCCCTCTGCTGTGACTGATGTGTGCCTTAAGCATTTGAGAGCAGAGCTGTGGGAAGGAGGACATTTCCCCTGTTCCTTGTCTGAAGTCAGGCACAAGGAGGGGCTGGCACTTGCTCTCCTGATCCTGGAACACCAGCCAGCCTCAGCAGCCCTTGGAGGGGAAACCATAAACCTGCAGCTCTGAGCTGCTCTGGAGAGACATGCCCCAGAATCTTCCACTGCTGCTGGACCATTGCAGCACTTGACACCAGACCCTCCGGCCAGGGCAGCTTTTAGGGGTTTTCTGGCCAAAAGCTGAAATGTTTTCTGTTGCCATGTTTTCAGTAGGAAGGAAAGTAAGACTCACCTCTCCCTTCATTCCAATCTCACTGTATGCCTCACCCATCTTGTCCTTCTGCAGTGACTGCAGGCAGAGAGGGGGAAAAGAGTCAGTGTGACAGTGGAAAAGCCAGGGCAGCCCCTGGGTAGCCACATTCAAAACCAGCTGAACTCAGAGTGTCTCATTCAATAGCAGTAAAGGTCTGGGAAACAGGCTCATTCCTCAAGCACTGAAGACCCAAGTTAAGACATGAGAATCAACTTGGCTGTGTCTGTGGTTTGGAGCATAGACCACACATTTAGCCAGAGTCAAATCAATTCCATCAAGAGGTTCCTAAGCAGCCCCTCTTTGATGCACTGGTATTTGGCCTTTGCCAGAGAGCAGGCACAGGGGCTGGAAATGCACAGGAATACCTGGAAATGCACAGGAAATACTGTAGTAGCAATCACACGGGGTCAAGGTTGGTTAGTCACTAGCATTAGGCATTAGCAGGTATCTTGCTCCAAGTTCTTTTCCACATCTCCCCAGTGTTTTTCTCCTGTCACTCAGAAGTGAGCAGAAATTTTCTAGCAAAAACAGAGGGTCTGCTGGGAAGAGTTGGGTGGAATGGAAGAGAAGTCTTGAAAAGCAGCTGTTGGGTTTTCAACCAGAGCTGAAATTGGGTGGCAGGGGGAAAAGTCTCCTATGAAACAGAATCTCCCGTTCCCAGCCATCCCTCCCTCTCTGCTCCCTCCAGAGTGCTCTACTCACAGTGTAGACAGTGTCCTGAGGGTTCTTTCTCCTCTGCTGTAAAACAAAAGAAAGAAGTTGCCCATACATTGCACTGCCAGCATCCCCCAGCATCTTGTATGTGCTTATGCATTTGCTGCATGGCACAGCTGCAGCTCTGTGGACCTTCCCTGCCCATTCCAGTCCATCCTGCCTCCACCCATAAGGCTCTGTTCAGACAACTTGTTCTGGGGGAAATTAATTTCACTTTAGCAATTGGTAGAACTTAGTTCTTCTCTGCTCAGCCACTACAGCTGTCACCTGCTGATGCAGGAGGTTTTCCCTCCCTTTTCCTTTGAAAGCGATGGGCCGTGCAGCAAGCACAAAGAGTTGTTTTGGCTGCTGCTGTGCTTTGTGGGCGCTTGTTTGATGGCATCAGAGCAGCGAGCTCTGTGAAACACCCACCGCTGCCGGGCCTCCTCCGCATCCGCCCCGGGCCCGGGTGTCACTTCCCACCCCGCTGGCTGCGAGCTCCGAGCTCCGGCCCGCCGAGGGGCAGACATCAAAGGGGAGGGGGAGCTTCGCTGCTGCCGCCCGGGTTACGACACAGATCGCGGCGTTCCCTGCCCAGGAAGGCGCTGGGGTGGCTGGCTGTGTGAGCAGCGCCGTGACACGGCGTGGGAGGAGGCACCAGATCAAAGGACAGAGGCGCACATGTGCCTGGAGGTTACCTGGTGTCTCCCGCCCAGCTCGGGGTCTGCTCCTCGCTTTCCTCCCAGAACATCGTAATCGTCTCTGTGCCCGCGGGAGAGTTTCTGAAACGGGAGAGAGAAAGCGCTGATGGACACCGTGATCATGAGATAAGAACAGGTCTTGGAAAAGAAAGGGAACCCAGCTTAGCTCACAAGGACTATCACTGAACTAGAAATTCTTTACACTCCCTGATGCAACTGTCAACAAAAATGTCTACATTTAAGCCATGGGAATGACACAAAACTGCAAGCTGTTGCATCAAGGACCTTTCCTAAGTGGAAATGAGCTGAAAACTAGAGAGCATGAGGGGGAGGGACTCTGACTTTCACGCTTTCTTTCCCACTGGAGAGTGAAGAGCCACGAGCTTCATTTTTCTTGCAGAGCTGCTCATCTAAATTTGCATTAAGGAGCTACAGAAATTTTATGCCCAACACAGTTCTTAGCCAGAAAAGGTTACCTTGGACAAGGGCAAAGGAGAGATTTCAGGTCAAAATAACACAGCTGACAGAGCACTACTTGAAAGGTGATGGGCTACACTTAAATTGCATTAGTGTTCAGACATTGCAGAGTTAAACAGAACTCATCACAGGATGTGGCTATGGTCAAAAGCGTGAGAAAAAAAAATTAAAAGACATCTAGACATAGCAAAAATAGCTAGAGTTTAATGCTGCCATGAGTGGGCAATTTAGTGAGGAGGCTCAGGCAGGATCTTGTCTCTGTCCTCTTTCACTGCCTAAAGATGCTGCCCTTGGTCAGGGCACAGGACAAGGCACTTCTCTGGTATGATCAGATACAGCAGGGCTTGCTGTGGGAAAAACAACAGGAAAGCTTGGGAATAGAGGCACAGGGCCTGTGGTGGCTCAGGCCCCACACACGAGAGAGTGCACGAGCTGCAGGTGCAAAGGCAGCTCCACAGCATCCCTTGGCATTTGCCCTTGGCCCAGCCCACATCAAACAGCAACAGGGGCAGTGCCTGCACACACACCCAGAGTTCTCACAAACCAGTTTGTTCCATGGGGCAGCACAGCAAACAGCCTGGGCTCCTGCCAACCTAGAGCTCAGTGGGCCAAATCATGAACCAACAGCCCAAGGAGCTCTCCAGCATCTGGCCGGAGTGGTGACACCAGAAGCTGTCCCTGTGAGGTTTTACCTTTCCTCCCTGCAGCTGCCATGCTGCACACATCTACAGCCTTGCTCATCAGCTGGGTCATCCAAAGCTTTTGTGACCAGCAGCCAGTTCAGTGTCCCTGTGCCCCAAAGGTCTGTCTGGATGGTGGATTGGGGAACAAGGACCAGCAGTTACTCACGTTGTACACGTCATCCTGGCCTGCTCGCAGCTGGGGCTCAGAGGCCTGGCTGAGCTGCAAGAGAGACCACAGAAACCATTCCATGAGCAGAGACACAGTGGCTCCCCTCAGTGCCTTCATTCCCTCTCTCCTACCAGTTACCCTCATCAGAAACAGGGCAACCCACAAGCAGCTCCCTGTGTGGCTACAGGCGATGTAAACCCCTGCTGCAGCAGCACTTTTATCCACACAGCAGCCTGCCCTCAGCAGCCAAGTCATCCTATTTCACGTAACACCAGCTCACAAACATCTGAGTTTGTTCCCTACACACCTGCCCTCCTCAGATTTTGTCTCTCCATTCTCTTCCTGTCCTAATCTTGTGCCTCCCTGAGACTTTGGCTCTCCAGCTGCCTGCAAAGCTGTTGGGCTTCCTGCAGGGAATCCCTGCACCCCTCAGGAGAGCACTTGGCATGCAGGACTCTGGTGCCACCCCAATAAGTTGATGAGAGTGGCAGGTAGCAAAGAGGTAAAGGATTATCCCTTCTGTAGCTGTTCTTTGGCTCAGCTGCTCACAATACTTATGAGAAATCAATTGCTAAGCCAAAACTTCTGGTAAAGAGGGGCAGTTTTGGAACAATGAGAGCAGCTGCTTTGTATTGTAGTGTTTAAACAAAAACCCTGTCAAACTACATTCTGTATTGATTTACTCTTTTTGAGTTATTATCACATCCAATTCTTTATTAAAAGTAACCTTCTAGCTCAGTCTATATTTAGGCATAGAACCATGTTTGTAACAATTACACAAGTCCTCTCCTGTGGTTGGGTTGTTGCATCATCACACTCATAGTATCAAAGATGTCTGAATTGTTGAGACATTTTAGCACATCCTTCACAAGCTTGCCATTTTCCCTGTATGTTCTGTGTATCCCTTCCTCTCTTTCCAATGACAAAGCAGGAGAAAAAAATCCACATAACTCCTGATCAGTCACTTCCCATCTACAAAATCCAGAATCTCTGATGTATCCATAAGTCTAACATCAAAGCACTCTCATATACTCTTTGTAAAGAACTGCTTTAGGTTGCTCAAGTAGACACCAGAAACAGAAGGGAAAAAATAAAGAAAAAGAGAGAAAGAAAGCAAAAGAATAGAAAGGTCTCATTCCAAGAGATGGTTCCCCTCCACTCCCACTTTCCAGCCCAGCTTACGCCACCAAATCCAAATGGATCTGTGTTGGGTTAGACTGACCTTTGCCTTCACAAAAAGGGCTGTCATGACCACTGCATAAATGAAGAGGAATCCATCCAGCATGTAGCAGAGCCTGGGATCTGTGAGGCCGAGAATTGATGCAGCATCTGCAGAAAAAGATCAGACACATCAGCAAACAAAGTCACTGGGTGCTTGGCAGCATAAATGTGGCAGTGCTGCCAAGCACTCCATGGAAAAATAATAGCCAGTGTGAGGGCAACACTGCCCCTTGGCAAAGGAGATGGAATTCTGAATAGAAGAATTCTAGGATTAATCTGGTCAAAAAGGAAAATGGCAAGTCAAGCCTTCTCTCTGGACAGGTTCAGTTAAACCAGACTGTCAGGACCTCAGCCTGCTGAGAGTACCTCCATGGACAGAAATGTTGCAAGCTCCCCCAGCCAATACAGGACATTCATTTTCTGGGAAAACCCAGCAGCATCTCCTGCAGGGATTCATGACTGGGCCTGGTTAAGGCTTCCTTCATCAAGTGTGTGTGAGAAATACATTGTTCAGACAAAATTTTAGGGGAGGTCTTCTCAATTCTGCACTAAATGCAAAGAAAGATTGATACCATCACATTCACTTGAACCCATTGCCCCTCATGTTTTCCATGTGACTCCTAAAAAGGGAGTTTCCATCTTTTCAGCCACCATTTAAATATTTATACACTGACCACATCCAATCTTAATCCAACCTTTTAAGATTGTTGGGTTTCAGCAGATAAAGCTGATAAAACTGCCCCTGTATCAGTTAATAAAGATATAGAAAGTTCACAAAGTATAGGTAAAAAAATCAAAGGCTAAGTAACCATATATCCAATATGCATCTCCATGGCCATCCCCCAAGGAAAAGCTGTATTGCACAGTTATATAAAAAACCAAAGAAACAAACACTTTAAAATTAATCTGAGTTGTGCTTTGTGCAGATTTGGAGTGAGTTCAAAAAGGAAAGACAAAAATTATCAATAACCTGAAAAGTCCTTTGATGAAGATAAACAATCACTGTTCCCTCTGACAGCCTCACACACCCAGAAAAAATACCACAGAGTAGATTTGTTTGTTTGTCTGAACTAGGAGCCTGCATTCATTTTTTCCCTAAGTCATTCATTTAGAAACAAATCCATGGAAATAAATTGAGATCCTAGAAGGTTTTCCTTCTTTTCCCTCTTTTTCTGTCATTTAAAAAATATGGTTCAAGCACTTTATGAAAAATACCCTTCACCACATTTCCTCAGGACTATAAAATTTCATTTATATAGGGTAAACAGAGACAGAGAGATTACATTATTTTCCCAACATTGTATATAAAACCAACAAACGAGCTGAGATTGCCTTCCCAGAGATTTTCTTCTAAACAGTTCACAGGACAGTATTTTACACCAGCCTGGAGGCATCTGAGATGCTGCTGAAGGCAGCATTTTTGTGTACTCTTTGGGTATCCTGGCCCTGAATCCCTCTTTTTGTACCCAAGCCAGGCACATTCATACAATCATCTCAAGTCCAATATTTCTCCAGCACTAACAAAATCCCCAGACCAGGAGGAGACATTGAGGACTGTGGAGGAGATGTCAAGAGTGCAGGGGATTTAGCTGTGGCCCTGTGCCAACCATTGTCAACCTTGGCTGACTCTGCAGAGCCAACCAAGTGCCCACACAGTGCTTATGTGGGGCTCCAGCATCCCAGGCAATGGATTAGTGCTGTTCAGTGAGGGAAGGCCTGCTGCTCTGCCTGTGATTGTCCCTGGAAAAACATGTTTTGAGACTATGACAAAGTCCAGTGTTTAGAAAAACCCAATAAAATGAATAGAATTATTAGGGTAAGAAAAGAACTCTGATATCATCAAGTTCAACCTTCAGCCAAATACCACCATGCCCACTGAAGCATATTGTGAAGTGTCACATCTATTGATTTTTTAAACACTTCCAGGTGTGGTGACTCCACCATTTCCCTGGGGAGCCTGTTTCAATGCTTAGCCACTCTTTCAGTGCAGAAAAATTTCCTCATATCCAACCTTTGAGCTGGTGCAGCTTGAAGCTACTTCCCTTGTCCTATCTGTTAGGTTGTGTTATTTCCTTTCTTAATATGTTTGATTTCTGTATTCTTAAACAAAGCAAAATGTACAGAGCACTTTCTAAATAATAACCTTTGAAACAGGGTTCTGGACTAGAAAGTGAGAGAGAGAAAAGATAGAAGGTAGAAAGCCTATTGAAAGAAAGGTCAAAGAGATAGGAAGCGCAATGAACAAGTGGCAGTTTGAAACAGTTACCATCCATTCAGGTGAACAGGACCAGTTTGGGTTTTTACATCACCAGAGGAGGGGTTACTGGCTCTTCAAAACACAAGGCCAGTCCCTTAGGCACCACCAAAATGTGCTTTGTGTCCCTCATCAGCCATGGTCTGGGGCTGAGGCCAAGGTCACAGCAGATGAACTGATGATGGGAGCTGGGCAGAGCAAAACCTGCCAGGCCCGAGGGAGCAGCCACACTCAGCTGCCTAGGACAGAGCAAAGCACAAACAGCAAATATTTCACTGATGATTCCCACTCTGTTAACCTCACAGTGCCTTTCCAATATTGACATACCAAAACTGAGAGGAGACAGTCACTGAGTGGAGCACTGCCCAGGTTTCCAGCCCTCCTCAATCCCAATTGCCTACAGCTGGAGCTCTGTCAGCACCTGTGCTTCTGCCCCTGAGAAGTTTCTTCCCAGCACCTCCTCCTTCCAAAGCCTGGACTTTGTTCCCCCCTTTTCTCTGCTCCCACCCAGCTGCTCTCCTCTGTGCCTGGGCACTCTCTCCTGCTGCTGCAGGTCCCTGCACTCCCGCATCTGGACGTGAGGCTGGCATCTCCCCAAAGCAGCTCTGCAACAACCCCCTGTGGCCTTTTACTTTCTGAAGCACGGGTGAAGAAAAAAGAAAAAAAGAAAGGAAGAAAAAAGGCAATTCAGAAGTGCTGCGGACAGCAAGTGAGAAAAAGGCAGCGGTGAGAGGCCGAGAGCAGCCCCAGGGCCCGGCGGAGGAAGCCTGGGGCCGGCAGGGAGGCTGTGCTGCGGCGCCCGCCTCGGGAGCCCTGCGTGGTTTCACAGCTTCAAGCCCTGGCTCAGGCCCAGCTCCAGCTCTCCTGCACAGGGCAGCAAACTCAGCTTCAGCCTCCTGCCCACACTGTCTGCTGCTCCCATCCTGGAGAGACACAGGAGTCCCAGAACCACATCCAGTCACTGCTCCAAATCATGGCATGAGGGAGGGAGGGAGGCTGCACCCCAAAGCTGGCTGGGGTCCAATCCACAGGGCTGGCCCAGTGCAGCCAGTACCAATGGGGACCAGCTGAACTGAATCACTGGAGCGTGGCCTGGACCCTTGAAGCGTGCCAGAACATTTCTTTTTAATAGGATTTTCCTCCTCCAATGTTTTTAGTGTGCATCTGGATTGGGTTAGACCATGATTCCTGATAATAGTTTGAGAAATACAGACCGTAAAAGCTGAATTACTTGTAAATCCAGATCACATCTGTCTACCATAAATTTTTTTCTCTCCCATGGGCCTTATTCAGTGATTCATTTAAGGATTTTACTTTTAGGGGTTACCAAAATTCAGTAACACAGCTGTAAATGAAGCGTTTTATCTTCCTGGAAACTGAGTTTCTCAGTGAAGCCCAGGAAAACCAATCCCAGCACAAGAGATTTATTGATGCAACTGTGGTTACATACAAAGGTGTTTAAAGGCAGATCCTGCAGGGCCTTCTCCCAACAGCCCAGAGCTGCCAGAGCTGCTTGCTGGGCAGCTTTTCTCAGATGCCACCATCTTCCACCAGCAGTGATCCCTGTGACTCTGGATGATGCTGGGTGTGATGGGTCTTGCCTCACTGCTGCTGCCTAAGAGCAAAATTCTGAACCCAAGAGAGCTCCCTGGGCTCAGAGGAGAGAGATGAGTACCCTGCATGGTGCTTCACTTCAAGTGCACACAGGCCTTCAGCTGAAAGGACAGCCCAGACTATATGCCTACAAGTTAGCCAGCTAAAATTATTACAGATAATCCTGTTCATGAAGAATGTATCTATCTTATATTTATAGTTTTCTATGGGTTTTACTCATGGATAGAAACAACAAGCAAACCTGTGACCCTTCAGGGATGAAGAAGCAGAGGCCAAATTCTCCTTCACTTGCAGAAGGCAGAGGCTCAATTAATTTGTCATCAATATTCCATCACATATTTGTGAAACACAGCATGGGCCAAAGCAAAGCTGTGCCCTTCAAGTTCAGCATTAGGGTTTGTTGTTGTTGTTGGAGGAAACTGCTGATACGATCAGGATTCAGGTTACAAGACCAAATGTTGGGCAGCCCAAATAATTACATTTAAAAAGGAAAGTATTTTAGGCCATTAGCTTCCAGTTTTTTACACCAATGAATTTTAGCCCTATGGAAAGTCAAGGTAAAGCGCTTTAGGATTCCTGTGAGCCCTTCCTACTCCTTTTACAATCCCTTCCAGGGAGGCACTAACAAAAAGTTCAAATCATTCAAGTTTTCCTCTGATTTGTTTGGAAGAAATACAGTCAAAAGAAGGAAAATATAATGCCACAGGGGATTAAACATTGTTGTTCCTGCCCATGGCAAGGGGTTTGGAACTAGATGATCTTTAAGGTCCTTTGCAAGCCAAATTTTTCTATGATTTTATGATCTTCTAGCACATAATGGAAAAAAGACTCTAATTAAAAAGTCCAGGGTACTGTATCAGGAGCAAGACAAGTATATCTCCAGCTGCTGTTTGATATGTGGGAAGAGGAAACCTATCTACCTTTTCAGTCTGAAGGTGGAGAAGATTAACTTTGAATATATAATTAAACAAGGCAGGCTTTCACCCTCCAAATCCTTCCAGAGCCTCATCAGAAACAGAAAGGAGGGGAGTGCCTTGCTCATCTCTGGAAGGGGACTCCTTGCTTCATCAAAACAGTCAGTCATTCTCAGAAAAAGCAACTGCTTTCACTTCTCACTTGAGCAAGGCCTCGGTGCAAAGGGCTTTCCTGAAGCAAGCCTGGTGTTGCCTCCTAGAGACAGCAAACCGTGCACAGGGCAGCTGCAGATGTGGATATCCAACAAGCTGCAAGCTCTGCAGCT